CGATGTGGGATGCGCCGGCGCGGGCGAAGGATTTCGCCATTGCGAGGCCGAGGCCCCGAGAGGCGCCGACGATGAATACGGCTTTGTTGTGGGCGGGGGCTGGGGTGGAAAGGGGGGAGATGGCGGGGTAGGTGTCGTTGTGGACTAGTTTTGTGACGTCGTAGTCGCCTAGAGACTGTTAGATTCGGGGGTGGTGATGGGAAAGCCAGTCTAAGTTTACCTGGGCCCTCGAGGGGATTTGGGGTTCCTCTTGGGGGAGGCATGATGGGTGTCAAATGGATGAAATGTGGATGTAATCGAGGTTCTCGCTAAGATATAGGGGGAATAGCAGTCACGTGTGTAAGCGGGGTACACTGGTGCATTCGAAGTTTGTTTTGGGGAGAGATGAAGGGTTCAGGAAAGTCTCAAAGTATTTATACATCCCAAACCCGAGAAACTAACTTTAGCTAGCGTACGTAATCGCTCGTTGCAAAGCGCCGTATAATTGTAAGACTCATAATGAACCATCTCGACTTACTCCGAATATTAAAGCTAGCGTTTCGGCGATAGAAGAAGGTGCTGCACGATTCGGATATAATGGATATAAAGCTTGAGCTGAATAATGAACTATTAATTCTCTATAGCATTTTAAAAGTTTGAATCCTTACTTATAAAGCTCATGAAGAGCACTCCGCTTTTTACAAATCTACGATGGTAAGAAGAATCGGTCTATGATGTAAAGGGCAAGTTTGATGGTGTATAGCATCAGTCCTATCCTATCTTTCTTTCTACCAAATGTTTTATTTACCCCTCGAAGTTCTTCTTATTAGTCCAACAACAATTCATTTTCATTCTCACAGCTACAATTGTCATCCTGTCCTATTCTCAGAGTCACATCAACCCGCACAAAAAGATCAATATCCACATTTGTAAAGAATGGAGGGGCTTCCGGTTTATCTTCTGATTTCTCAGAATACACCTTTGATTACATACCTTACTAAACGCACACTTACCTCATCCCACGCCCAATTCCATTATCAATCCTTTCCAAACACCTCACCCACCGCTTTCAAAACCTTACACTCGCCTTTATGACCCCTCTCGCCCCATCCCCTCACTTGACATTCCTACAGCCCATCAGTATCAATCATGACCCAACTCCCTATTCCGACAACACAATACGAGTTCTTACCTTCCCGCAATACCAAACACTCTCACACCCTTTACACCTATTCATCTTCCCTCCTTCCTCTCCCCCTTTCCCACACCCCTGACATACATTCCTCCCATCCGTCTCCCTGAACCTCTCACTCATCTCGCGCAACTTCTCCACGGTCGTAGGGATAAGCTAGTCCCTCAATCTCCGTCAGTTCTTCCCTGTGAACGGAAAACCATGCATACGAAAAGGGGTTTTGTTTATTTATGAAAAAGAGAAGAAGAGAAAAGAAGAAGAAACTCACACCGACATCCCCCAACCTAACTCCCACAAACCCCTGCTTCCCCCTCTCCCCCGTCGCTACATTCTCCTCTCTCACCCCACTCCTCCTCGCCCCTTGAACCACAACCATATACCCCTGTCCCAAAAAGTCAACATAAAACCCACCCTCTCATCCCCCCCCCCCCACCCAAAAAAAGAAAATCAAAAACATACCTTCTTCCACCCCCCAAAGCCCCCTCCTTCCCTCCCCCCTCTCCATTTTCCCCATCACCCAACCTCAGCGTAACAGCATACCGCCCCCCCTCGCGATCCCGACAAACATACGTCGGCGTCCTCGGGCTCAACGTCATATCCTCCATAATACTCCCTACGAGGAAATACTCTCCCCTCCTCTCTTTCTCATTCCCATTCCCTTTCCCTCTTCCCTCCCCCTCATCCTCACCATCCACCTCAACTGGACAAGCCCCAAAAGCAGGAAACACCTTCTCGTTTCCGAAATCCGGGAATATGCTCGTATGCATTCTCATTCTTATGTACTCGACACCCCCACGGTATGGCGTTCGTTTTAATTTATTTGTTTTGCTTTATCTTGTCTTGGGAAGGGAGGGGAAAGGAGAGATGAAGAGGTGGAGATGGAGATGCGATGGGATAAAATGTGTGTTGAGAAGTCAGGTGCTTAGTTGGTGAAACTTGTTTGAAACGTACGCTACGCGATGGAGGCTAAGGAGACAGTACAGTACTGTAGTGTAGTTGATTGCGTGCGCATTCCTGAGGAGTGTGAAAATGCTATTAATACAGAAATATAAAAGGTAGGAAAGGTTTAAAGAAGGGGTGTTTCTGTTTTAAGAGTGTCTGCCTATTAGATCTTGGGCTTGAAGCAAAAATAGACGGAGAAAGGAGAAGATCACGTGATGTATATTGCTTCCCAGTTGGGTCGAGCTGTCGGGAAAGGGGAGGGGCGGATAAGCAAAGCAAAGCACACAAGTCAAATTTCAGTTAAAGTCGTCGATTTATCATGATACTAGTACATCCATCCATCGCTTTGTCCCATCTTTAACTCCAACAATACAACATAACACAGAAGCATCGCATTACCAAAGTTGTCAATCGCTCTATCCGCATACCAGATGCCCCATCCCCCTAACATCTAAATGCAACGCACCTTCCCTAGTTCAAAGATAGAATAGAAGGTAAGTGGGTGTCAGTTCACAACATCGTACCAAAAGTCCCATCAGTTGGGATGGCTTTTCGAGGGCTGCTGGACCTGCCACCGTCATCTGTAGTAGGCTTGCGATGTCTGAACGTGAAACCAACAAATAAGTTTTTGTTCATGGGGTCTTCACGATCGGCCATGTTCTCCAAAGCTGTTTGCTTATCATGAACCTCCTTATACTTAGCCATGTCGGCCTCATTGCTGAAATCGTCAAAGTAGCCGGCATCGGTCTCCGAGTCGAGTTCTGGCACGAAGGGTGCGCGCTGAGAACGGAGGGTATTCCAATCAACTTCGGCAAAGTACTGGTGGCCATAGACCTCCTTGATTGATGAGAAACGCTTGCTCTTAGAGGCAATACAGCTGCTATAATTAGTATTTGCTTCGACTAAAGAACCAAATCACTTACCTAGTGATAAAGTTCCAAGTCCGGTTGCTGATGAAGTAGTTAGGATCTTCCCAGACCGGTCGTTTCAGAACCTCTCTCCAATGCTTCAAATTCTTCCAAGTCTCATCGACAGAGTTACCAGCGAAAGGAGGGAAACCAGTCAATGCCTCGAAATGCATGCAGCCCAAACTCCAATAATCCACCGAGAATTCGTACTCGTCGCCCTTTAGAACCTCGGGTGCCATGTAATCCGGAGAGCCAACAATGGATTTAGCGTAGTTGACATCTTTGTCCCTCATTGACCTGTAACCCTCTCGTCGTTCTGCCACTGTTCGTTGTTCCATTGGCTTGCTGAATGGCACATATGTCTCTCCAACTTTCTCCAACTTGACTCTCATCGATTCGATCTTTCCTGGGGCAAGGAAGCCAGCAGCCAGTCCGAAATCCGTCAGCTTGACATGACCAGTAGAATCAATTAAGAAGTTCTCAGGCTTTAAATCGCGATGAATGTAGCCAAGTTGATGCAGCGCATCGATAGAGCAAAACATCTCAGCGATATAGAAACGAGCATGACGGTTCGCGAGGACACCAGTGTTGTTGAGTAAGGTTCTGAAATCTCCACCGGGGACATATTCCTATGAAATTGTTAGCATAGCAATGCATTTTTCGCTAGAGTATCTACCATTGCCAAGTAAATGCTCTTCTCGTCTTGGAACGAGTAGAGCAAGCGCACAAGCCATTCGCTCTTAGCGTTAGTCAGGATATCGCGCTCTGTGAGAACGTGTCTAACTTCGTCAAGTTTGAACAGCAGCTTCTTGCTCATGACCTTCAGTGCACAGACTTCTCTAGTGTCCTTCTTTTGAGCAAGGAAAACCTGACCGTAGCCACCCTGTCCGACTTGTGTGAGGATCTGGAAATCACCTTGGCGGAGGCGGACTCGTCTCTTTCGAAGATTGGCACGCTCTCGTCCAGCATACTTCTGCCAAACAGGGTTGTAGGTTTCTTCGGGTGTCTCTGGGGGAGCAGGAAACTCGGCTTGAAAATGAGTAAGTCGGTTTTGTCGAGAGCCAACGTATGTGAGAAGGTCGTAGTAGTAGTCGAGGAAGTCTGTTTAGGGTTAGCAATATTTAGCAGGCATATGAAGTTGACCTACAGAGCTGCGTAACATTCGCCAGTCTTTTAACATTGGGTTTGTGTAGAATATCTAACTCCTCCGCCGTTAAGCCTCGTTGAGTATTGTATTTCCTTGTACCCGCTAGGGTGTTGTCTCTTGGCTGATACAGCTCCTGCCTTGATAGCGCAGCTTGGTTTTGGGCAACTGGCGGAGTATTTTCTTGTCCTTGCCTTCGAAGAGGGCTTCCTGGAGAAGCAGCTGACTTGTGTATGATACTATCATCGACATTTCCGGAAGCATTTCCAAAGTACGAATCGTCCACCGCCAAGGTATTGCTCTTTCCAGGTGATAGTGGTGTGGTAGTCTGGGAACGGGTGTTCTTCGCGGGACTTCCAAAACTTGGAGGCGCAATCTTCATGGCATTCTCGAAGGCAGTTGGCAAATCATTTGCACCTGGGGGGTTTCGATTCTTGCTTGGGCTTCCTTGCGGTGTGGAGACGGGTGTGATGAAGTTGTTCCGGGTTGGAGTGTTGGGTCTATCTTCATTCTGGCTGGAACGAGTGTGAAGAGGCGGGGGAGGTACCGGGAGGATGTTGTCGTGCTTGTTTCCCACAGACGAAGGAAACAAATTGGTGATGAAGCTCGACATGGTGGAGGGGACGAAGCGAAAGACGAAGTTGTATTGTATAGTCTGCGGTAGAGAAAGAATGACAAACTGCAATTGATATGGAAGAGATTGGACTGAGCAGTAGCAGCAATGCAACCAACACGTCTTGCTGCAGTGGGTGAGGGGGGGATGTTCAAAGGTGGAAATGCAAGTCCATATGCGCGGTCCAGGGTTGTTGAAGTGGGGCTTTTTGTTGACGTTTTGAGGAGTCGCGTTCACAGAGCAACCACGTGAGAGCTGGAACTTTACGCGCCATTGATAAGTCACCAACTCTCTCTGTCCTGCATCTATCAACAGCAGAATGTTGCTTTTTGCTGTTCAATAATCAAGCTGTTGTAACTTCCAGATCAATGAGATGATTAGAAGTTATAATAGTTGCGGCACCCCGCACAAGAGAGTGAACAATTTAGGCGCCTTTTCTGCTTGACTTCCTGCAAAGCAAGAGAACTCTTGAGCATCGGAAAGGAACCAGAGGAAGACCACTCTTGTAGATTCCTATATGTTTTTCTATCTTTGATATTAGAAAGTACCCCAAGTGCCGAGTCCATGGCACTTGGCCGAATCTATAACAAGCAGAGCTAAGGTATTGAAACTCCCTTGATTTCAACATTTCCCCTTAAACTTTTCATAACTTATACGTATTGTTCGGTGGCTCTGTAGCGGAGCAATTAAATTAGTTCTTTTTCAATCATTCTTTAGTGCATTGCGTGTCAGATTGATGGAGAGATTGAGGATATTTGGGCCTCCTAGTAAAGGACCAAGTTTATTTACTCCGAGGATGTTTTGTCAAAGTTTCGTAGAGTTTATGAACAAAACATGAATGTTTTCACCAATCATGTTACCATATATGAATGTTCATTGCTGGCAAGTTCTCGGCGGGCACCAGCTAATGGCACAACCTTCTCTAGTTTGTTCAAGTTCAAGCTACATAGCAGCAGCAGGCTGTTCCCGTTGTAGTGGGCGGCAAAGCTGCTAGCTCTAAGCAAGCTCCACGGAACACGATCAACGGCTGAAGTCTTCCATATTCCTTCTCTAGTGTTTGAGCAATCGGGGTCAGATGAGAGATAAATAAAAGAATGCATCTGGACAATCACGTGACCCATCAACCCCCTCCCTTCTTCTACCTCGGTATGCCCTCATCAGGAAGGGGGCCAAGCTTCTTCATCATTGGTTTGAGATGCTCCCATCAACATGCCAGCCAGTACAAGTATTTATTGGCAATTACGCTACACTACTCCGTACATGACATCCTTCGCCCCCATGACATCACCCGATCGGGTTTCCTTGCTAAACCGTACAGTGTCATTGTACTTGTATGGTAGAATCCAATACCTGTATGGAACTTCAGGCACAATTGCTCCTTCTCTGCTGGTGCTTCGCGTGCCACAGTTCTCCCCGCACTTGCAGCCACATGCACATGCAATATTTAATGACGTTTTATGCCGCGTGCCTTGTTTACAGAGTAAAGCATCATTCATGCCGTAATGCGCAGGTATTACCATTAGAAACCTTGCCTTGCCTTGCCTACATAGGATAGGTACCTATAAGACACGACTGCCCCTCCATTATTTACCTTTTTCCCAGATCAGAACTCCATCACAACTCACACTCTACCAACACTCACAAGCACTACCAAACACATAACAAACCCCCAAACCTCAAAATCAATATGTCTGACAACCTGTATGTGTTCTCCTTTGACATGGTCAAATACATGTTCAATCCTACTGCCATAGGTATCACCCAAGCTGACCTACCCAAGCCGCAAAGGACTCGGCGAGCAGGTCGGAGAGAAGGTCACCCCTCAATCCCAGAAGTCGAACACCCAAGTTGCTGGCGAGAAGGCATCCGGTCTTGGAGACAAAGTCGCAGGCGCAGTCCAGCCAAGTACGTCCATTCTCACACTTCGAACATCTAGGACCACTATTGACCAACATATACAGGCGAGGACAAGTCCGCCACCCAGCAAGCTGGTGACAAGACTCGATCTGGCGCCAACGAGGGAGATTCATACCTAGACTCTGCCAAGAGCACTCTGTCCGGTGCGGGTAAGTTGCATTCAAGATGCTTATTGTGTGTAGCATTATGCTAATTTCATCAACAGCCGACACTGTTACTGGCAAGACCAAGGACGCCACCAACAACTAAGCATGTTACGGCATTCAATGATTCGTCTTGAAGATTGGGAAATAGCAAGACTGGGCTATCCGGTCTTTGTATGAATTAATGAGCCATGTATCGATACTAGCACCCTGAACACACCTTCATCCAGCTGTATCCAAGGATTCTCAACGTGATCTGATTCTCTGCTACTTTGAAACCACTTTCTTGACATAAAAGCGGCACTTGTTGCGACGCATTTGAGTGTGATACCCCGTTTAGAAGCTTAGAAACCAGTGCCGCATTTACTTCAAGATGCCATTAGTGAGCCCCGCTTGCTTCCTTCCAAAACACCGATCATTTTAAGCTTTTTTGTAGATCTTCATATCTTTACATCAAAAAGACGCAACATATTAAACATGACGCACGCAGGCTAAATAGCCTCTTGGATTTATATCTCCCTCTAATACTTTGGTTTCCATCCATCCCATCGGGCACTAAAAAACGGCTTTCTCGATGCGTCCATCATCATCCTCCAAGCTCTGCTTGTGTGTGGACTCCGTCTCTACTCAGCATGCACACTTTCTTGATTGCTCCTCCCCGAAGTACTATACTCTTCCTTTCCCCGGACCCCATACCGGTATTTCGGCGATTGGCAGAATGGAGGCACGGACAACTGCAGGAGAGACAGAGACTTCAGCCCAGGTAAGTGCTGTGCTGGTGGAGTATACGCCATACGATATTACGATCAACTGTGCCGCATCAGGGGTGTGGACAATTGTTGCCACTGGGAAAGCTTGGCATTACTAGTAATAGCCCCGAGGCGCAGTGGCCACATTATGGCGCTTTCAATGGAAACGCGCTTTTCATTGGCCGCTAAAGGTATATTTTTGGAGATGAAACATCAGCCTTGCGCATGGGGAGTACTGTACAAATTTCGTTGATTTATGACCATGTGTACCTGCTCTGAAGAAATCGAGGCTGTCCCCGGTTGGTTTATTCTTTTGTTCTCCTCTTCCTTTCCTGTTGTCCATACGTCCTGCTGTGTAGCACTCTCGTTGTCATAATGTTTGCTTTAGATCGTTGTTCTTCACCCCTTTCGGCTATTCTGGTTCTGCCGCGAGAGATGTTGATATATGCTCTGTTCCTCGCAACTGCACATACGGCGGCCACATCACGCGTATATACGAATTCGTCCAGTCCAGCACTCACTAGCTCATCAGCTTTGGCATCTATAACATCTTCGGCATCACTTTCATCTGCGTCCTGTGCTGCACCAGGACTTGGGGCGCTATTAGGATGTGATGTCGGCAATCAGCAGCCTGCTCCAGCCCCAATTACAAGACACTGTGAGGTGAACGATATAAGTGGCTATTTCGTGTACTGTAATCGGACAGGCACACCGAAATACACCACCTTGTTGCCAGCGGACCCTTACTACGCAGACAAGATCAACACCGCTATTCCAACTTCTCTGGCTGATATGTGCTACAACCGAATGAACAGTTCCATGTATGATTTTTTTAAAACTGCGCCAATAAAACCGCTGTCTTTGGTTCCTGCCACTACTATCAATGATACGACATGGTCAAGTACTGCGACAATTCAGACAATCATTACCATATCCACGACTGTCAAAGGCGTTGCTACAGTCACTACCACCAATGTACTGTCTACCATTACACAGACGCCCCCATTCACTTGGTCTGCTTATACGCAATATGCATATGATGATACATTCTCCTTTACGGCGCAGCCTCCTTGCTGTTTCAACTGTACACTTTTTGGTAGGTAATCTTGTTCGTTGCGTCTGTATTTAGAAATGGAAATGTTCTCATTCGCTAAATATAACTTCCCAAAACAATCTGCCCGGAAAGTTTTCCTTCGATTTTGATATTACCATCATTCTCTCTAAACCCTATAAACGAACAAAGGCTAATTACGGTTTGTTTGTAGGAGGAAATGTTCAAGTGTTCTATTGGCCCACATCCGCTGCGTCTCAAGCAGCCAGTAGGACAGCAATTGCTCCTCGTGCGGCAAACACTACGGCACCTGTGTACCATGCAGCAAATAGTACCGCCAACGGCACTGCCACTGGGTCTACTCTAATTAACTCCGCAGGATACACCTTGTATGTCTTGTCCTGAGAGCTGTGATCACAGACCACTAACCTCCTTTCTAGCGCCTCGCCCTCCATCTATGTCGCATTCGAATCTCTACGAGCCAAAGATCTGTGTGGCACAGTTGGGCCTACATTTAGTGCTACGACTCTTGCATTTGATCCGACTGACTTGTCTACCTCTACGGGATGGCGCTACGACACAGGTGTCTACTCTGACCACCCACCGGTGTTCTACTACCCTACACCAATCTTCACCCAAGCATCTTGGGGAACTGGGTATGTTTAAAATCTCTCAAATTCATGCGAGAACGCAAAAAAAGATTGTTTTGCCTCATTTAGCACTCGAGCCAATTGCCAGGAAGAAACAGATTCGGGACCTGATTTGTTGAATGGTGGGGTGATCAATCAAGCCCGCTTTGCAGCCCCTTTTCCAATAGGAACAATGTTTGTAGCCGATACAGCAGCTAACAAGTCTTAGGGTAACATGCACAGAATATACAACGACATTCTATCAGGAAGATCCGGCAGGATTTAACAGAGATACAACCATGTATACAGATGCTTCATTTGGACTCGCTGGAGAAATAATTTCAAGTGAGGGTTATACACCGAGGTATGCTCCTTATTCGCCACATTCCAACTATTGCTAATATGAAGTCAAGCTACCTTCACCTCTATACAGCCTCATACAATCCCTGCTCTCCAGTTATCTCAGTCCCAAAAGAGGTCTATACTCTTTATCCGGCATGGCAAACTTGCGGGGCTGGTATCGACGCCTTCTTTGACCCACCCTCTCTCCTGACGCCGGGAACCGGAGCGTCTGCGTTCACAACGGCAGCTCCTATGGTTCCCGTTAATAACCCAGCAACCACAACTTCCGCAGCAGTTGCTGCTAGTCCAACCCCCACGACGGCTTCCGTGACAGTTGTCCCGGTCAAGCCCACTTCCGAGACCACGCAGCCGAAAAGCAGTGACCCACCAGCTCAATCTGTTTCGGTAGCGAGCGATCCACCGGCACAGGTTTCTTCGAGTGATTCTCCAGTTCAGCAGCCCCCCACAGTAGTGAGCAGCCCATTGGCTCAAACTCAAGTAACGAGCAATCCTCCAGCGCAAGCCTCTTCAGCAGTGAACAACCCATCTGCAAGCTCCCCTGCTGCAAGCAACCCAGCACCACAATCTGCAACATCGATCGATCCTGGTCAATCAGCTCAAGTAGTATCTCAAGCAGGAACATCACCAGCCGCAATCACAGTGGGTGGTTCGACCATTTCCGCAGATCCATCGTCCGCCTTTATCATTGGTTCCCAAACACTCACTCCAGGCGGCCAAGTTACCAATGCTGGAACCCAGTATTCTCTCGCCTCAAACGCCGGAAGCCTTATTGTGGATGGTACCAGCATTCAAGCAATCGCTACCTCTGCTTCCCAGGTCGTGCCACCCGCAGCTGTTATAACGGCTGGCGAATCAGTCATTACCGCTGATTCTTCATCCGCTCTCGTGATAGCCTCACAAACCTTGACTCCCGGTGGGGCCATCACGCACTCTGGAGTCGGCTACTCACTTGCCAGCAACGGAGCTTCTCTTGTCGTGGGTGGTACCACAACTCAAGCTATCGCTGCTCCGGCACCACCATCCACATCGGCCTACACAATCGGTTCTCAAACACTTGTTGCCGGCGGTGCTCCTATTACCGTTGCGGGAACGACATATTCTGTTCCAGCAGGTGCTGGCTCGTCCGTAGTAGTAAACGGTGCCACGCAACCCATCAACATCCTCCCTTCACCCTCAACCTACATCCTAGGCTCCCAAACCCTAGCTGCAGGCGCATCTCCCATCACCGTCTCCGGAACAACCTATTCCCTCCCCTCCGGCGGCTCCTCCGTCCTCATAAACAACACCCCCCAACCCCTAACCATCCTCCCCTCC